CAAAAAACCACACAAGCCAGCCCCTCGCTGGTTTCAGTCGGAGGAAGAGGAATCAGAATGGGAATACGGACGAGGCGGGACCCGAAAGAGCCGTTCCAGAACCCGCACGCCGTCGAAAAACCGTGCCGTGGAGACAGGACAACCAGGACAGCGGCATCCAAAGTCGACTTCGACGCCGAGAGCAATCTCCCAGGACAATCCGAACGCGCAAGCCGTTCCGAGAAGCAAGCCACCGGGGGCGTGTCCTGCACATAGCAACCCACAGGCGGACGCGGTAAGCTATGCGCAAGCCGTATCTCCCACTACCAAACATAAACCCGTTACACCAACGATCACAGAACACCCAGAACACAAGCGGGTAGTAGCTGAAAACAGACAACTAAGAACAGAACTACAGTAGGTTAAGTCTCGAATGGCGCGCCTGGAGTCACTACTAAACCAGTCGAGCAACACACAAAGCCCGGCGAGCACACCTGTTGTCTCGCAGCCCGTTGCGCAGCCCGTGGAAACGCAACCACCACAAACACCGCCAACAGCGTTCCTAGTTCAACAAATTCAACTTGTTTTTGCCAAACTAGGCCAGATGGAAAGCACCATAAGCGACTTGAGTCAGGCGCAGAATCCTCGCAAGAGATCTTGTCAGAGCCCGGGTGCCCCCACCAGACAACCTAAAGAAAGTGGAATAACAGATTCCGAGAATACCAATCATGGCTAGACACCGTAACAATAAAAAGACCGAGCAAACGGAAATATGGCAGTGGAACTGCTGCTCATTGAGAACAAAACTTGAAAATTTCAAACAATTTATTGGAGCATCTCCAATCCCTCCTGATATAATCTGCCTTCAGGAAGTAGGCAAATTTCAGATAAATCTGAGAGGGTACATAAGACATGTTACCCCAAAGTACCCACAAGTGGCGACATTTACCAAAAAGATATCGCATTGAGTGTCAGCTACGTGAGCAATGAGGCAGTGCAACACCAGATAATAACAGTGTGGCCCAAAAAACGTGGAGGACCAAAAACAGTGGGGGTCAATATATATAGCCCACCTAAGGAGAGACGAGCCGACTTTGAGAACATTATAGCACATGCGATGGGTTTATTGAAAGAGAAAGACAGGTTAGTTATCATGGGGGATTTTAATGCGCCACACAGAAATTGGGGATATAAGCAGGACAGCCCTAAGGGCAAACTCCTTGTAGACCTTGTTGAACGGTATGATATCTGCCAACTTACACAACCAGACCTACCGACACGGGTCGGGAATAGCTTAACAAAAGACACGTCACCGGACTTAACGTTTACAAATTCTGGAGGAAACGTCTCATGGGCGCACCTTGGAGAAAACTTGGGAAGCGACCACTACATTCTCGGAATAACTATTAATGCCGCCACGACAAGAAGAATGGGGAAAGCGACAATATCTGATTGGAACAAATTTAGGGAGAACGTAGGAGACCAAGGGGAAATAATAGATCTAGGTAACTGGGTGACACAGATAAAGGAGGCACACAGGAAAGTGACAAAGGAAATAGAAACAAGCGTGGAAATCCCAGAAGTCGACAAGCACCTGCTACATTTGTGGGACGCGCGGAGAAGCCTCACAAAGCGATGGCGGAAGCAAAAGCTTAATCGCAAATTGAAGATAAGGATAGCTCAGTTGTCACAGGAAGCCAATGACTACGCACGTCAACTAAATAACAGTAACTGGAGGCAATTTAGTAACTCACTTAGAGGGACGTTAGGAACCAAAAAGACCTGGCACATCCTGAGGAGTATGATCGATCCAGGGGCAACAAAAACAATGACGAACAGGGCTTTAAGAATTCTGGAGAATGAATTTAAAGGTAACGATGACGCACTTATCTACGAAGTCAAGAAATTATATGTCGGACAAGACGCATGTGAAGTGGTACATGGCAAATATGCAGGAAAAGAACAACCAGAGTTAGACGCTCCCATAACATTTGAAGAGGTTTATGGGGCGGCCCAGTCTTTCAAAAAGATACCGCCCCAGGACGAGACAAAATAACAAACTCTATGCTTAGAAATTTGAGTGATGCGGCCCTTCGACGAATCACGGATTTCTTTAATGAAAAGGTATGGGTAGATGGAGGAAACCTTCCAGTAGAATGGAAGGACTCAAACATCATGTTAATACCAAAACCAGGAAAACCAAGAGATATTAAGAACCTCCGACCAATCTCCCTTACCTCATGCTTGGGTAAGCTTTTTGAAAAAACAATATTGACTAGATTGACAGACTATGTAGAGAGAGAGGGTCTGCTACCGGTGAATGTGTTCGGTTTCCGACCACATGTATCGGCCCAGGATGTTTTCCTGCTGTTGCAAAATGACGTCATGAACCCAAACAGAGGTACAAGCGACGAATTCGTACTAGCACTAGATATCAAGAAAGCATTCGATACAATATCACACAAGGTGATAATGGAAGGCCTCGAATCGATTAACTGCGGCCAACGAATATATGAGTATGTCCGGTAATTTCTGACAAGCAGGAAAGCTACCATTTCTTTAGGCTCGGTTACATCTGAAACCTTCGACTACCCAAATAGAGGCACCCCCCAGGGAGCCATGCTATCCCCGATACTATTTAATATCGGCCTGAGAAAGCTCGCATGTGAGCTGGAAAATATAAAAGGTCTAGGAGCAGCTCTTTACGCAGACGATGTCACCTTATGGACAAAGGGTGGCTCTTATGCGGACAAAGAAAACGCCCTCCAGGAGGCAGTAGATAAAATACAAGCTTTCGTGACAGCTGCACGAATGCAATGCTCGCCGGAAAAAACTGAAATGGTTAGAATTAGGGCAAGATACGCAAAGAAAAAGGACTTAATACCGGTAGCAGCACTGCTGGATGGGAGACAAATCAGGGAGGCAGATGTAATACGCGTGCTTGGCATGTGGATACAAGGAAATTCGGGAACGTCACACACACTACAAAGGCTACGGGGAACCACGGCGAATGTGGCCCGGATGATCAGGCGGATAGCAAATAGCCAAATGGGACTAGAGGAGAAAGAAACCATTGCACTCGTTCATGCATTTGTGATCAGCCGAGTTACGTACGCGCTACCGTACCAGACAATGACAAACCAGGAGACAAAGCAAATAAACACAATAATAAGGAAAGCATTCAAAGCAGCATTGGGGATTCCGGAAAATGCCAAAACCGAGAGGGTAGAGAAATTGGGCATATACAATACCTTTGAGGAGTATGCGAATGCGGTGCTTTTTATCTCAAAAGGAAAGGCTCAATTCAAGCTATCATGGGAGAAGAATTCTGGAAAAGATGGGATATACATTGCGACCGTTATATTGTGACGAGGAAACGGTGCTAGTAGATGCGGAAAAACGCACACATTTAACTGTAGCGCCTATTCCCAGAAATATGCATCCGACGTATCACGCAGGAAGGAGGAAAGCGAGAGCAGACTCCTTACGCAAAGCATTTCAGAATAGCTCAGAAGCCGTCTTTACAGACGTAAGTAAACCGAGCAGAGGGTCACATGTAGTGGCAATTGTAGCACAAAATCAAACCACAATGGCGTCGGTTAAAACTTGTTTCACACGAGTGGCAGAGGCGGCAGCAATAGCCATAGCCATATCCAACGCAGAAATCAGGGGAGAATCAGTGGTTGTGCTCTCCGATTCACAGGCGGCATGCCGAATGTTTCTCTGAGGAACGCTACCTAAAATAGCGTATAAATTTTTAAATAAACCCATAACAGGAGACCATCACATTATATGGTGTCCTGCTCACGAAGGTTTGGAGGGGAACGTCGTAGCAGACCGTATAGCTCAAGGCATCACCAACCGAGCGACGGCAGGCCACGACGTTGAACCTCTTTCCAATTCGCGTGACATCCTCCTCCAACAAAGGAAGCAACGAAAGGAATATGGGCTTCCACATAAGGACTTGGATAGCCAGCAAAGCAGGGATTGGAGACGCATACAAACCAATAGCTTTCCCAATTTGTACCATCTAAGTAGAATATATCCCGCAAGATATAAAGACACCTGTCCGTGGTGTTCACAAGTACCAACACTTAGCCACATAACATGGGAGTGCACCCAGAGGCCCACACACATCGACAGCCCACACATCACGAAGCAACCACACATGTTTCACAGGCAGTGGGAGGCATGGCTTGCGGACGAGGACAGGCAGAGCCAAACAGCTTTGCTTGACCAGGTCCAGCGAGCCGCTCGTGCCAGCGGAGCCCTGGACTGAGGGCCCGACCAAACTGCCTGCATTTAAATTTTTTTTCTCTCTGAATAAAGTTTCTTCCTCCTTTCTGAATACGGAGGAAAACACACACCGTATTCTCTCGATATAACTCCACCGGTCCTTACATGAATGTAAAAGCAAATAACTGGCCGCTTTTAGGAGCTCGACTGCAGCTCGAACATGTTTAGAGACAATTTCAACAACAAAAAATCTTGAAAAGCTTAAATTTATAGTACTTAATTAAAACAGCGTAGCCCTAAGTGCTCCCGAGATATCTTCTGCAGCGAAACTACCTCCATAGACAATTTGGCACTTCAACCTCCAGACACTGGCAAAGTTTTAAGCGATCAAAAAATTAATCTGTCATGTTCTCAAGTTACTAGCACGTCAAAGTGCGAAAAACTTGAATATATGACGCATACGAAGTAATACCCGTCAATGAGAGATACTGATCCCAGTTTTCCTTTATGATACGAATTGCGCGCGTGCGCGCCAAAACAACCGGCTAAACAAAGACGACGTTAAGAACTCCAGAAACGCGTTTTATTTCGGTTCACCTTAATGCACTAGACTCCATCGAAATGCAAAACCAACGTATCTAAACACTTTCTTTTCCAACAACATTTTCAGAATGCATCGCAGCGTAGAAGCACCAGAGATAGGAGAAGCGCGAAATCTAGCACATCTTTAGCAACGCTGGTTGTCAAATAAGCTTAAGCCTAGTCGCGAATGGTCAATTACTTACAAGCACTAGCTGGAGTTTCTCCCACGTGAAGAATGTCTTTCAGCAGCCGCGTGACCTCGCTCTGGTCAAGAGAGCTTTCTTGTGATTTTGTGTCCATCAGTCACCTTCTTACAGCTCGTAGACAGCAAGCGCCCGAACTACCTGAACGCAAATCTTGCTCACACGCATGCTCACAGAACACCTACCAGGCATGCTCCCTGGACCGGATCAGGTGCGAAAGAGAAGCGGTTAAGTAGATGTGGACGCCAGGGAGCGCTAAAAACAAGTTGCAAAAAGAAGTAGCAAACGACCGGTCATCGTGATGACACGCAAAACCTATTTTCACTTTTCAGACTCTTAAGAGTGTTGTTCAAAACAATTATGCCAAATTTTCGCACCGAGGGAATCGCGTGTCATCCGTAAAGAGAGAATGGACGAGAGGTTGGTTCCTCTACCGTGGCTGAGCGGCCTACGGAGCGCACTGAAGCCTCCGAGGAGAAGCCGCGCGGGGCGCGCGCAACCGTTTATACGTTTTTAGAGGGCTCAGAGCTCTGAGGCCTATGGTTCTAAAGGGGCACAAATATTTGAGCCACACGGAGTTCGTGGAAGAAGTAATCGACGTAAACACAAGGGCCGAGCTAAGTCAGACATGGGCTATATTAACATGCAGAGTGGCAGGAATAGGTTACAGTGGGAAGAGCAGTTCAGGCAGGAGGAACTGATGGTATATAGGGTTGTGGAGACACACCTTCTGGACACGGAGCAACCACCTTGCAATTCAGACCACGCATGGGAACATTGTAATAGAACAGAAGGCAGCAGAAAAGCGGGTGGTATTGCGGCATTCATTTATAAAAGTGCAGACTGGCAAAGGGTCAAGCAGGAGTGCAAGGAACATTTGTTGCTAAAAGGGAAAGTGGCAGGGCAAATGACACTCCTTGGTTTGCTGTACTTGTGGACGGGAGCTAAGGCCAACGAGGAAAACGAGGCAATGGTCGAGTTTATATAAAGGACGTTGAGGAATTAGGAAGAGAGAGCAAGATAATTATACTAGGAGATATGAATGCTCACATAGAAGATACTGAACAGGCAAAATGATCATAGATGTGTGAAAGGCATGATTTGATTTGCAACAGTACTGAGAAGTGTGAAGGGCAAGTAACATGAGAGGTATGAAGGTTACAGTCGACGATAGATTACGCACTGCTGTCACATAGAATGTACGATAAGCTCAGGGGAATGCACATAAATGAAGGTGGCTCCAGAAGTCTGGGTAGTTATCACAACGTATCAAGATAAGCTTTGGAAGAGCAGTGAAAGTGGAAAGGAGGCAAGATGAGCGACTACAGTAAAATTTTCATTCAGAAAGGCAAATAGCAATTGCTACTAAATAAATCAAGAAAGTAATCACTGAGGATAATAAAACAGTGTGCACACACACAAATCTAATTAGACTGTTTGAGCTAGAGCTTACTAAGGCACGTGACAAGTCACACCGGAAAAGAAGACACAAGCCCAAGAGTTGGTGGGATGATGAAGTTAAGAGAGCCATAGCAAAACGTCAGGAAGCCTCTAGGGAACACAGACATGCTAAGCAGCGGGGTGAACCGACAGATGATGTTGAAAGAAAAATGGGACATCTTTCTAAGCTGTAGAAAAGAAGCATTCCTTCTGCCCTTCTGATCAATGAAAAGATTAGAAGAAAGTGGGCTCAGAGTAAGGCAGAAGTACATAAAAAGGACAGAAAGGCAGCTGCGAAACTTTGGAACAATCTAAACTCCCTAAGAAATGAAATAAGCCTAGAGCAGAGATTTATAACTACAGCTCAAGGTGCTAAGCGAGAAAGGGAACGAAGCCATTGAATATATAAGAACAAGGGTGACAGAAAAATTTCAACAAAGAAGTGCCTTATGCACCACAATAGACAAGGATGCACAAGGCGCAATGGCTCCATTTTCACAACGAGAGTGGGAAAGGGCTGAGAAGAGGGTTCCAAGTAGTACATCAACAGGCCCAGATGGCATTTCAATTATGCTGATAAATACACTGGGTTCGAACTCTAAACAGACTTTGAGAGAGGCAGTGAGCAGAACAAGAATCGATGGTGAAGTCCCCGATGGATGGAAACTTAGCAGGATGAGCATGAGCTATAAAGGAAAAGGGGACAAAGCTGACATAAACAACATACCGTCCTATAACAGTGACATCAGTGGCCTACAGGCTCTCGATGCAGATTATGAAGGAAAGACTGCAGGCATGGATAGAGGATGAGGGGGTGCTGGGGAACTGCAGAAGGGGTTTAGAAAACACAAGAAGTTGGAAGACAATCTGTTCTCACTGAAGCAGTGCATCGAAATAGCAGAAAAGGAACTCGGGCCCCTGTGGCTCGCATTCTTGGATATCAAGGAAGCGTACGTTAGCGTGGTTTAAGAGGACTTGTGGGGAATACTGGACACACTAGGTGTGGAAGATGGGGTCAGTAATATTTTAAAGGAAATCTATAAAAGTAACAAAAGGTATTTATAAAGTGGGAAAAACAGGTATCATAGCCCACAGAGGTGAAACGGGGACTTAGGCAGGGGTGTCCTCTGTCACCCTTGCTATTCATGATGTACCTACACGGATTAGAGGTCAAATTAGAGGGAAGTGGACTTGGCTTCAACCTCTCTTTCGTCAAACAAGGAAAACTCATTGAACAGGCACCACCAGCATTAATGTACGCAGATGATATAGTGCTAATGGCCGACAACAAGGAAGATTTGTTGATTGATGGACATCTGCGGTAATGAGAGAGATAGGTTAGCTTTTAGATTCAGTAAGGAAAAATCAGCAGTCATGATTTTGAAGGTAGTGAACTTAGGATACAGAAGGTCACGCTAGAGATAACAGATGGATACAAATATCTAGGCGTTTGGATAAGCAATGGGACTGAGTACCTAAGGGAACATGAAATATACGTAACGACTAAAGGTAATAGGAATGCAGCAGTGATGAAAAATAGGGCTCTGTGGACTTACAATAGGTATGATGTTGTGAGAGGAATATGGAAAGGGGTGATGGTTCTTATGTCTGATGTTCGGCAATGCGGTCTTGCGCATGAGATCAGAAGTTAAAGCAAGATTAGAAATTACGCAACGTGGAATAGGTAGGCTTGCTTTAGGAGCTCACGGGAATACACCAAATCAGGGAGTACAAGGTGATAAGGGATGGACATCATTTGAGCGCAGGGAAGCTAGCAGCAAGATAAAATTTGAGAAGCGATTGAGAGAAATAGGGGAGGAGCATTGGGCTAGGAAGGTTTTCAGCTACTTGTACAAGAAATATGTGGATACAAAATGGAGGAAGCGAACCAGAAAATTGATTGGTAAATACTTGGAAAACAGCAGTGGGCCAAACCAAAAAGAACTATCTGTTAAGCAGAAGGTGAAGGAAACGGAGACCGACATGCGGAGAATCGGCATGATTAAGAAGTCCGCACTAGAGATCTATCGGACTTTCATGCAGGAAATTGCCAAGGAAAGGATCTATGATAATAATCGGGGTAGTTCTGTACTGTTTGAGGCCAGGACGGGAGTATTGGGAACCAAGACTTATCGGGCCCAATACGAAAGGGTAGACACGGTATGCAGTGCGTGTGGAGAGGAGGAGGAAACTGCCGAACACTTGATAATGTTCTGTAAAGGGCTTCACCCTATAGTTCAGCGTGATGGCGCAGAGTTTTTCAAAGCACTGGGGTATAGGGACAGGGAGGGTAAAATAGACCTTAAGCAGGTAGAATTAACTAGAAGAAGGTTATCCGATTTGTGGCTAAAGTCAAGGCACTAGTGAAAATTAAACCTTCACTGCAAAGTACGAGTTCTCAAGTGCAAGATAAATAAATAAATAAATAAATATATATATATATATATATATATATATATATATATATATATATATATATATATATATATATATATATATATATATATATATATATATATATATATATATATATATATATATATATATATATATATATATATATATATATATATATATATATATATATATATATATATATATATATTTCGATGGAGGCGGAAATGTTGTAGGCCCGTGTGCTCAGATTTGGGTGCACGTTAGAGAACCCCAGGTGGTCTAAATTTCCAGAGCCCTCCACTACGGCGTCTCTCATAATCATGTGGTGGTTTTGGGACGTTAAACCCCACATATCAATCAATATATATATAAATATAAATATAAATAATTATATATATATATATATATATATATATATATATATATATATATATATATTATATATATATATATATATATATATATATATATATATATATATGTCCCGGTGCCGCGCAGTTGCCAACCGGATAAAAAAAATCCGCGTGGTGATGGAACTGCATTACGAGGCCTGGGGTGCGGCCTCACCGTTAACCGACGCCGGGAACGCACTCCCTCACCAGAGAAGGATTGGCCACCCTAGTGCAGTATCTCGCCACTACCTCACACATGCATACGTCAAATAACTCCCGGCCCTCAGTCCCCAGCAGCTGCGAAGCAACTGACCACGGCGGCGGTCAGATCTGCAACGCAGCAGAGGGTGCTAAGAATCTCTGGATCCGGACAGGCCGCCATTGCAACCTGAACTTGGCAACGTTTAACGCTAGAACCTTATCTAGTGAGGGAAGTCTAGCTGTACTATTTGAGGAGCTAGAGGGTGTTAAATGGGCCCATAATAGGGCTCAGTGAGGTTAGGAGGACAGATGAGGCCTATACGGTGCTACAGAATGGGCAGGTCCTTTGCTATCGGGGCTTGGCTGAAAGAAGAGAACTGGAAGTGGGGTTCCTAATTCACAGAAACATAGCTGGCAACTTAGAGGAATACTCTAGCATTATTGAAAGGGTGGTAGGTATCGTAATTAAACTGAATAAGAGATACAAGATGAAGATGGTACAGGCTTACGCGCCTACATCCAGCCATGATGACGCTTCTGTTGAAAGCTTCTATGAAGACGTGGAATCGGCAATGAGTAAGGTAAAAACACAGTATACAATACTGATGGGAGACTTTAATGCAAAGGTAGGGAAGAAGCAGGCTGGAGACCAGGCAGTAGGAGATCATGGCATCGGTACTAGAAACGCCAGAGGAGAGCTACTAGTAGAATTCGCAGGACGCAATAATTTACGGATTTTGAATACCTTCTAC